CCGAATGTTGATTTATTCTTTATTATTATAAAATGTTTAGTTTTTTAAACGGAGCTTAGAAAGTCTGACGTCAAAAAAGAACCTGTGACTTTTTGGAAATAAGAAAATCGATATATATTTTTTAAATGTAACTTGTGGACTTAACGCTCGGTGTAAATAAAAATAAAAAACAAATATCAGAATACTTTATTTATCCTGAGAAATCAGGATAAATTCAAGTATTCTGATATTTGCTCCATTTAAAAATAATTACGATTATATAAATTAAAATAGATTTATTTTATTGAAAGTTCAATAAACAGATAAAAAATAACAGACAATTCAAGGTATTTAAGGAAGCAAAAATTAACAATAAAAGTTAAAATAAATAAATAAATAAATGAAATTAAAGTAAAAATGTTAAATAAATACCACACATTTTTACAAACGTCATCAATACACATAAAATAAATATTTAAAATGTGTTATTAATAAAGCCTCGGTGTGTTTGGTGCAGCCCTGATCCAGATCTGTGTTCCTCCTGAACTTGTTGTTTTGATCTGATATATATTATATTCATGTGTTCCAGTGGAGGAGGCAGAGGGCGTCAGCAAGCTGCTCTGTGACGCCTCCTCTCAGTGGAGGAACCTGGCTCTGGAGGTGCGCAGCGTGAGGAGCATGCTGGAGGAGGTGCTCTCTAACTGGGAGAAGTACGGCGGCACCGTGGCCTCCCTGCAGGCCTGGCTGGAGGACGCCGAGAGCATGCTGAACCAGAGCGAGGGGGGCAAGCGCGTGAGTGCAGAATACTCTATAATTATTACTATAAACTCTGAATGAACCACAGGAGACACGGACCAGAGACCAGAGCAGGAACACTGAAGACAGGCTCATCTATCAAACATGACGATGACCTGGAGCACTTCATTGATTATGAAGAAGCTGATATGTTTGATTCGTCCTCTGAATGCCTTTCCCCTTCCTCAGGACTTCTTCAGGAACCTGTCTCACTGGATGCAGCAGCACACGGACATGAACGACGCCGGGAACTTCCTGATCGAGACGTGTGATGAGTCCGTGTCTCGAGACCTGAAGCAACAGCTGCTGCTGCTCAATGGGAGGTGGAGGGAGCTCTTCGTCAAGGTCAAACACGTAGGTCACATATAAATACAATATCTAACATTAAATATCATATGATCATACCTGCTTCACCTGTTCCACCTGCTTCACCTGTTCCACCTGTTTCACCTGTTTCACCTGTTCCACCTGTTCCACCTGCTTCGCCTGCTTCACCTGCTTCACCTGCTTCACCTGCTTCACCTGTTCCACCTGCTTCACCTGTTTCACCTGTTCCACCTGTTTCACCTGCTTCACCTGTTTCACCTGTTTCACCTGTTTCACCTGATTCACCTGTTTCACCCGTTCCACCTGTTTCACCTGTTTCACCTGCTTCACCTGTTCCACCTGTTCCACCTGTTCCACCTGCTTCACCTGCTTCACCTGTTCCACCTGTTCCACCTGCTTCACCTGTTTCACCTGTTCCACCTGTTTCACCTGCTTCACCTGTTTCACCTGTTTCACCTGATTCACCTGCTTCACCTGTTTCACCTGCTTCACCTGTTTCACCTGCTTCACCTGTTTCACCTGTTTCACCTGTTTCACCTGTTTCCACCTGCTTCACCTGTTCCACCTGTTCCACCTGTTTCACCTGTTCCACCTGCTTCTCCTGTTCCACCTGTTCCACCTGTTTCACCTGTTCCACCTGCTTCTCCTGTTCCACCTGTTCCACCTGTTTCACCTGTTCCACCTGCTTCTCCTGTTCCACCTGTTCCACCTGTTCCACCTGTTTCACCTGTTCCACCTGCTTCCACCTGTTC